TGACTATATATATATTGAATACATGTTAAATTATAGCTGACATTCATTATTCTTCAGCTTCAGCTTCAGGTGTACACTGCAGTGGTCAGGCACCTACACAGTCCATGAAGTGGTCTCCCTAATAAGACAAGTGTCCATCTGACACCCTACACAATCTTTACAACATTGTTGATTCTATTCCCCAAACTGTCTTTCGTAGGGCACTTCTTAAACGTCTCTTTTCCTGGTTCTCTAACACCAGCTGGCCTGCCATTTAGCTTGTTGTCCCAATGCATCTACTGGTCTCCTTCTAATTGCTTATCACAAACATAGGCATTGTTTTTAATAACCCACTTAGGCTTGAACGTCCTCATGCTCAATTTCAAATAAAATCAGTTCCTTGGGATAGAGCTTTAGAGCTTTCTGTACCTAACGACTGACTCTCCCCTTTGGCAAATCTTTGAACCACTGTTCTGGGCACTGGGCAGAGATGGTAGCCTCTGGTCTTCTCACCTTCTCAGCTTGCTTTTCTGGGCAGGGAGCCTCAGCCCTACAGTTAAGCTGGGATGAGGGCAGTGAGGGCCGCACCATTCTCGGCCCGCCACCACCGTGACAGAGCCTCCACTTTACAACTGGGGGCTGGATGAATAAAGGAACCCATGCCATCACAGCCTCACTCACCAGGAATTTAACCTGTGCAGTTTGGAGTTAGAGGGGGTTAGAAATGTCGCTAGCCTGCCTCTTTTGATAAGATATCATACCCCATGGATGGGAGCTGAGGAGAGACAGGGCCTCATCCGCTTGGGCACACCCACTCAGAGTGGAGTCTCTTTCAAGGTGAACTGAGGAGCAAAGGGAGGGAGCAAACAAGTCATGGCGCCAGTGCCATAAATTCTCTCTGTTCTTACCAAGTTTTAGTATATTTTCTTGAATAAATATCTCTTCGTCCTCTATGTTCTTGAGACAATTTCCAGAGACTCTAGATGGTCGTTCTGTTTTGTTTTTGTACAGTTTTTAGCAGTTATGTTTGTTTGGCTTGGGGCAGGGTCCATGGAGCTCTTCACATCGCCATTCTGCAAGGTGGAACCCCCAGAAGGATTTTTTAAGACTGTGTCAGAGGAAACTACTGATTTCGTCACACACGCTGAGCTTCAATTCCCTTACCTATTAATGGGGAGAATAATCCACACCACACTGCGTAGGACAGAGTAGCCCTGAATAACTCTTCGTTGCTTCTTTCCCCCTCTTATCTCACTTTTGGGACTTAGGGAAGTTCTAGTTGAATGAAGGTGCCTGCCCAATAATGCGTTGTTACGCTTTAAGGATTTTAAAACTCCGTAAGTATTTCAAGTAAATTGAAAATGTATTTAAGCACTCTTAAAAATGATCTTCATACCTGGACCACGGTCTTTGAGAGGTTTGGTTCATGAGAAAATGCTTTAACAAAAACCACAGCATGACTCAAGGCCTCTTTCTTCTTCTTCCTTCTCCCTCACCAACTCCCACTACCCCACTCTCTCCTAATTTGCTTCCCTCCTGTATTATAACCTTCCACCAACATATGAGAATTACTGAGTAGAAATTGAATGATTGAATAGTTAAAAAAAATCAGATCAGTCAGTCTATGTCAAGATTTGTAAAGCAGTTAGAAATTAGTATTCTTTCTGAGCCATGTTTTCATATAGCAGTCTGGACCTTGACATAATCACACATAGATAGATAGATAGATAGATAGATAGATAGATAGATAGATAGATAGATAGATAGATAGAAAGATAGATAGATAGATATTAAGAAATGAAAATTTTGTGACAGTCGTTTCCAATGTCTCTCTCTCTCTCTCTCTCTCTCTCTCTCTCTCTCTCTCTCTCTCTCTCTCTCTCTCTCTTTCTTTTTCTTTCTTTCAACAAAGATGATTTGAAGCCTAAGATGTGTGTGACATTCTTCTATGTACTTGGGTCCTGGTATGCATCTTAAGAGATGAGATGGGGTTTTTAGGAGCTGACCAATCAGCATATGTCTTACCAAGCCAAAACATTATTATGGTGTTTGTTCAAGCTTTGTGTAGCTTATCTACCTACTAATTAAAAATGATCAGGAAGAACATTATGTCTGTGACCCTAGGAGAAGCTATAATTGATACTTGCCTTTGCTCCATCTCATTACCACCTTTAGAGCTGGTCAAAGACAGATAGTATTATGTTTTGAACTTCTTATACAGGGGATGTTGAACAACCAGAATCTCTTAAATTTGATGTCTGGAAAAAAAATGGATTTCTAATTTCTAAAGTGCTATAACCTTTTTGACTTTCTGATGGGATTTAGAACCAATTAGGGATATATTATCATCAAATAAAAGAGAGGATGAAGATGATAAACAAAAATCCATACCTGAAAATTTTATTTTGAAACCCAACTATCTTCTTTGATAAAGAATTCAGGTACTTGGGATAGATAGAAAAACAAAAAAACAAATTTTTAAGTCAAAATTAGGAGGATTTTACATAGTTTGGAATGTGAAATGAAAATTAGATTATGTGGTATAGTAGGTTCATACTGACTTCTTACTATGTGTAATATTAGCAAGACATATTCCTATGTTCAAGATATAAGTCTCATAAACAAATAACTGTAATGTTAGACAGAAAATATTTGTTATACTAGAGACTCTAAAGCTGCCACTTAAGACAGATGAGGAAGAGATTTAGTCCTGGTAAGTGGAATTAGAAAAGGTTTCATAAAGGAGTGTCATGTGATCCAAAGTTGATGAAGGGGCAGAAACGCGAGGACATAACAAAACCAGCCACAGTGTGTTACAAGTTGCCTTAGAGACCAGCCAGCAATGCCCCTTGACTGGAGCACTGGGAAAGGGAAGTGAAGATAGATGACTGGTAATAGATCACGAAGACCCCAACATGTTATCAAAGGAATTGGGAGTTTATGTTGGAGCTACCTGAAAACCATGGAAGGGTTTTGGAAAAGGGAATAATAAAATGGTATCTTAGAGAACTTATTCTGACACCCTCATATAGCATAGATTTAAAAAATATCTGAGTTGAGAAGACGAATAGAGAAGCCATTGTTGGATTATGCCGGGTGGTCCTGAGCTAAGAGAGCAGAATACAGTGGACGGAAGTGCCACAAACAGAAATAAAATCAAGGAAATAGATGCCAGAGACACTATGGTGAGGGGTGACTGGAACTCAGGAATGGAGGTCAGCAGCGAAAGAGGGAGTGCCAGATGTTTTCAAGTTTAGTGTCTGTATGTCAGGAAGGTTGACAGTGTTCTTCTTAAACCGAGAGAAGAAACAGAGAAAGATAAGGTTTGGGGAATGAAGAAAAACGATGTTTCATTTATTCAAGAAATATGTATTGAGCACTTACTATGTGCCAGGCACTGTTCTGAGGGGATGAGCGTTATCTTTAATTATTAAAGCACTTTAATGTGGGAAAGGGACCATTCCCAATCTGTGTGACTCCAACGGCAGAGCTGGAGCCAGTGAGTAGGAGTCAAGTAGGAAGCAAGATATCTTTATAACAAGTGGAGGCTTCTCGATAAGTAGTAAGAATTCTGTTACAGGCAGTATTCAAGCATAAATTACATGATATTCTTCCAGGAACACCGTGACAGGGATTCCTGTGGTAAAACGGAAATTAGATGAACCTTGCTGCAAGTTCTTTCCTGAACTTAAGTAAGAGTCTGTTCTTTCTGATGAGATCTAGTCCTATGGGTTCTATTATTCATCTCTTATTTCTCTCAATTATTAAATAAATTACTCAGCCTCTCTGCCATTCAGGAAAACTCACACATTTGCATCTGTGTGAAACACTTCGTGAATTGTTTCTAGTTAGGGCTCTTCTTCTTTATTAAAAAAATTCTACCCAGCAATGTTACCTTTACAGCTAATTTACAGGGAACCCTGGTAGATGAGGTTATACACATCGGAGGAGAGAAGTATTTCTTGTGCCTAATAATATTTTTGTTTGGAAGAAGCCCCGCAAACATGAAATGAATTATCTTGACTTCGAGACTGTGATGCAGCTTGTGTTATCTTGCAGTAATTCAAAAAGAAATAAAAATCTCCGAGAGGTTCATGTTGACGTGGCACGGTAAAGAAGGAGAACGATTGTTCTCCAAACACTGTAAAGCTTTAAATCAGAAACATTGATCTATGCTGCACTGAATGAAGTAGAAAGGAAAGAAAAAGGAAGAAAAGAAAAGGAAAAAGGGAACCTGTAGTGAGTTCTGCTAGAAGCTATAGTTAAAGCTTTGCATTTCCTGGTGTCTTTTGAAACGTAAAATTCCACAACAAATAGCCCGGTAACGTATAACCAGTATGAAGATTCAATTCAGATTGAAGCACTTTGGTTTGCTTTGGAATCTTGCTATTTTCTGCATTTGTTTTGACTGCTCTCATCATTCAAGATTGACGCTTGGATGGGTGTGTAGGAGGGAGCAGCAGCAGCAGCAGGCTTACAGCTTGCAGACAAAAAAAAAATCTGCCTTATCTGATGGCTATTATTGAAAATGCGAGGTGTAGCCTGGGCTGGGTAATGAAGGGGAGCCAGCGAGGGGGAGCACGGAGCCGGGAGCTGCATACTGATGAGTGTAGGAGTACTTGATAAAAAGACTTCTGGCTGCTGGCCGTGCCTGGCTCATTGTGGAGTACTCCAACAATCACATAGAACGCAGCCTAGCCTGAGCTGACAGCTTGATATGCCTTCTTCTGCTGCCTGGTTTTGGTGGCTGTATGATGTCCTGGTCGGTAGTAAAGATTAATATGTAAGAAAATGTGGAGCTAGGATCAAGTCATACTCCACAGCCTGCCTGGCAAACTATGTTTTACTTCTGACTTTGCTCTCTCGCTGGGAACGTTCATCTGTCAAGCTGGCGGGCTCCTTTGATAGCAACTTTCCCCGGAGCATGATGTGGCAATGCCACCTCTCAGCCCAGGACTACCGCTATTACCCCGTGGATGGCTACTCCTTGCTTAAACGCTTCCCTCTTCATCCTCTTTCAGGACCCAGATGCCCTGTCCAAACAGTGGGACAATGGTTGGAAAGCATTGGGCTACCTCAGTACGAGAACCACCTGATGGCTAACGGATTTGACAATGTGCAGTTTATGGTAAGACGCTCTCTGTGTCACAGAGCTGCCTTTTGTCTGTCTTTGCTTCTTATGTGTCTTCCGTGGGCTGAGAGGCAGCCTGATGTGCACGAAAGCCGGTCAGTTTTATATGTGTAACTGCATCAGGAAATCGGATGCCCTTAGGAATGAACTTGCTGTGTACATGTACCCACTCGCTGGAAAATGAGATCCAGCGGCGTCCGTGTCCACATGTATTATGTGAATGAGCCGGTGAGAGCACGATTTCTAGGCAGTGAAAGGAGATGAACGTTTACAGCCTCCCTGTCATTCTCTGTGTGATTTTTATAAATTTGTAATCTCCGAATACCCCGTGTGATTATGGCACTCTCCGGTTAATTCTAGATTCCTAAAACATGTTATTTCGCTCGAACAGCAGCAGGTAGTGATTAATTAGACAATCTGGTGTGTTTACCGTGTGAAGATCATTTTTTTTTTTCCTGATGATTGTTCAATAAGCGGTTTAGATTGTTTGGACAGCCTTTAGTTCGTTAGCAAACTGCTTCAGAGGATCAGTTAGGAAGAGCGTTCACTTACACAGGCTGACTGGAGAGCATCGAAGTATGGTTTATTACTTTAGGCAGAAAACCAACGCTTCCAGCAGTTCACTGTCACTATTTAGAAAGAGGCTGAGGGACTAGGTACATTCATGTACTTCTGAGTACTGGTCTGCGAGCAAACTTCTCACTGTGGTGACCATAGGTGAGGCAGGGGAGTGGTGAGCTGTGCAGACCCAGAAGAGAGCTTTCGAACCATTTACATACCTCCCCCAGTGGTATGTTTCTCTTGTTAAGCGACGTCACAGTTCTTATTAACATGCCTTGTTTTGAAGGTTCCATCACACGTATTACTGAACCTTAAATTTAGAGAGTGTTCCATAACATGGGCAGGTAGCACACACATGGCTTGTAGAAATAATTAATAGCTATTTCTAAGTACCAGACATGCTGGGGCTGACACCTGAAGCTTTCTAATACCAGAACTGATAACAAAACACTGAGAGCTAGTCATGTCTTCTTATCTCCATTTGAGATTATTTTTCTCCAAGCTTGACTGGACTATTGTAAATTTGAAAATTACTCAAATTGTTGAATGTCTGCTTCTTCTTCAAAAATGTGTATGCCCCATGAGCCTTTTTTTTTTAGAAAAGCCAAATAAATGTATTAAGACATATGAGCTCTAAGTAATTGTGCACATAGAACTCTTCATAAACCTATTTTGTTTATAATGAGATATGCAACTACTGTTATTTTTCTTGTGTTTAAGAATACCATCACTGATTAGACAGACAAGATATTGTGGGTATTGAAATAGGGGAAAAGTGAAATGTCTTCCATTGCTAGGAAAGTCTTAGGACACTGAGCAGATTTAGGACAGATTTAGGATGCTAAACATATGATACCAAGAATTAGAAGAACTATCAAACAGAATGAATCTTTGTGTTATTATTTATGTTTACTGTGCATTTGGATAAGTATTTTTTCTCCCTATCTCTACGTGAGATAAGACTCTCATTTCTCATTCCCACTCCTCAAATCCTTGTCTAAATTTATTCTGGTCCCATGAGAAGTTAGGTAGGTTTTGGGATTCTCTCGACAATTTGGCTGCTTTGAAAGATTTTAATTCAGCATAATTTTCCTCTGAATGTTAATCACTTTTGAGCAAATATAATCCCTTTTTGAAAGCCTAGAACTGAAAGGTTAATCAAACAGGTTTCAAATAAGCATTTCGAGATCGTAAAAAGAAAACATTCCTGAATGAAATATGTATAAGCATTCAAAAATGTATCTGGGAGGTAAAAATCTTGTACTTATGTGACAAAACCAAGGTGTGATCTTCTCCATAGATTATTGTCTATTTTCAATTCCAAGTATTGTATATAGTTTCCCAGAAATTAAGAAAACATAGTTAATTCAAATGAGTCAAATACTTTTTTCATAAGACAGAATCAATTTTTAAAACTTTGAATTTTCATGTAGAGGAATTAATTATGAAAATGAAGCAAATCATAAAATGGTGTCATCAGTTATTGCTTTCTATACTGCTATACTCCATTTATTTGTTACTAGTATCATAAAAAGCAATTTCTATCTTTATAAAAATTATTTATTGATCTCCATAATCTAATTTATTTCATTATGAACTCAGTTAAAACACACTAATATGATCAGCCCACTTTAAGAAACAGATTTCATTAATGTGGTGAAAAATCAGTTAGACCTGCTTAGTCTCCACTGGGTATCATATTCTAGCTTTTGTTTCTCTTGAAGCATATTCTGACCTGCATTTATTCACCCTGTTGCCTAAGCAACAAGCACCACACTCCTGTTAATTATGATGTAGTACAGGTCTTATTAGCTTTTTAGAACAAGACAGTAGAAACATCAAAAGGATATAATTATTGTTAGTTGAAACATCATAGTAGTACATGCACACATAGATATACTTTATTTAGAAAACACCCTCAAGAGTTAATTTTTCATTTAATCAGCATCCGTTAAAGAATGGAAGTTTTAAAGGGTCCATATAAGTAACTCTCAAAGTATTTATTGAAATCTTTAACAAATTTTGTTTGCTAACTCTGTTTGAAATATTTTCACACATAAACACAATATATGATGGTTTTATCCACATTGCTGTGATTAACTCTAATAAAGATTTCTTACATCAATTCCTAGACATGGTTAGAAAAGAAGAACCTACCCCCCCCCTTTATTTTTAAATATCTATAAATTGTTGCTTCTCCTTTGGTCTCTTAATAGTCATCCTTGATTTTATTGATGTGTGAATTTTTTTTCAATATCTGAAAGTTAAAATTCTACTTTTTTTCTTTATGTATCTGGTCCTGGTTTGTAGAATAGTGGTGCACACAGTTTTGACCCTTCTATAGCCTTAAATATAGAAAATAAATGGAAATTGGTACAATCAACAAATAGCTACAAAAGTTCATCAGGTCTCCTAAGACTTTGGGAAAATCAGATCTATATTGTAATCCTAAGCCCCTTCAACACAGAACCCTTTGAAGACTTACCCAGGCCCCACTCTACCTGTCCACCCCCTCTGAAGTCAGCCGTCAGCTCCCTCCTAGTTAGGCATGTCTGTCTACCTGCCACTCACTGGCCTCTGGGAATGCTGCGGTCCTCTGACATCCCACCTGTTTTCCCCAAGTTTGCAACCTATAGAATGTGTCTTAAGTTTCAAAGTTCCTTTTTTTGCACCAAGGAGTTTAGGGGTGCAGGTTATTACACACGATGCATATGCTTCTTGATTTTCTTATACGTGTTTGGACCATCATCTCTTTTTTCCAAGTCTGATGACTGCTTCCTAAATTTGAAGTCTCCAACTACCTAGTCCTGTCTTGATGAATGCTCATTTGTACTCTTACCCGTCGTCCTTTCCTGGCAGCGATTTCCTTTCCTTTCCCCTGTCTTTGATCCTCAAAGGTCTAATTCAATTCCTGCCTTGTTTATGTAGCTTTCCCTCAGCAGCCTCTCTTTTCTCTGAACTCATGCAATGCTTGTATTTGGTCTGAAAAATTACACTTGGCATGTCATTATTCACTCTCTAGAATGAAGAGTTAAGTTTACACTTGTATATCTTGTCTCCCTAACTAGACTGGAAGCTCCTCAAGTCCAAATTCTGTGTGTTCCATTTCCTTGCCTTTCTCACAATTCCTAATGTAATGCTGTGTACATAGAAATCACCCATCAACACTGGAAGCACAGCAGGTTGTTGGAGATGGACCTCCAGCCTCATTTTTAACGTGGAAGCCCTGTTTTGCCAGGGGGAACAAGGAGCTCTAGTACCCTTCATTCATTCATGCCACAAATACTCCTTAAACATTTTCTGTGTGATAGGGACAGTGTTAATTACTAGGGCCGTAACAGTGAACAATGCGTGATCCTTGGCCTCAAGCACCAGCCTTGCCCTCAGACCTATCATATTATCTGCATGAACATTATACACACGTTCCTCCATGTGCTCACACACACACTGTATCACGGGGATCTTGTCTCCTCCTCCTTCTGTGTAACGACTATCCTTTAACATATTACTTACCAGCAATTGTTTTTCCAGCATCCAATTACAGTAGGCAGTGGAAGAGATAAAATCTATCACAGCGTGGAATAAAAGAAGATAACATCAAAACAATGGCAGTGTTATGGTAGATTTGTACTCCAAAGACTGAGTTAAGAAGTTTATGTGACTTGGAGGACTGACTCCTAGTCGCCTCACTAGGATAACTAGCTGACAGTAATATTTGTAAACTTATCAAAAGGGGGAAAGAATGAAATTATACCAGCTTATTTTTTTTTTAGCATCTGTGTGTTTCTAGCAATTGCCATCTCAGTTGACTAGGAATGTTTTGAACATTTTTAAAATGTTCAAAATGCAGCCTTTACAGAGTAAGAAATAAAAATAATACCAGGGGCCTATGTGAATTGGCGCTTTTGTACGCTTGGGTGGATAGCGTTCATACAGGACTTTCTGAAGGTCAAAGTGAGTAGTGCCTATTAGATACTGAAGTGGGGCCACAGAGCTCTTGGAAGCCATTCATTTGAACAAAAGATTCAAATCGGATGGATCTTACAAGTATTTAACTGCAACTTTCCCCCATTTTTGTGGTGCATTTTAAATGCTAGTGGATTGACTTCTTTCTCTTTTTCATAACTTTTCTGTAATAACAGCACCATTTGCAATTGACATGATAAAAAAGAGTTTTTAAGTACCTTAGCAGCATGTCCTGATCCAAGTAAGAAGTTAAACTTGTGAAGCAGAAAAATAAATTGTTCCTACAGGCCAGGAGTAATAACCCCCATGATGATTTCTTGTTTCAAATATTGTATAAGAAAATTTTTAAAAATTATTGAGATTTAAAGGTACAAATGAAAAATACCTTCCACATTTCCTACACCTTCCTGTTTCTGAAACAAGCCAGGCTCTGTGTTGAGTGGGTGGCTTTCTATTGAAAGTACAGCTAT